GAAATACCCATTCTGAGGGCCTCTGCCAGTCTTCCGTAGCTGCAAACACAAAGCCTGAAGTTTACACACTCCAAAAGGCCAGTTGGTATAGCTTCTGTCCCCAAGCCAGATAGCACTTGGTCCATCTGCTGTGACCACAGTTCATAGAAGTGGTGGTGGCTGACACTCCTCGCCAGAGTCTGACCATGTGTGGACAGCTGTGGATGGCTCCTTGTTTTGGATGCCAGGCTGGGTCAAGAGTACAGACAGCCCCAAAAACGACTGTAAGGATGGGGCCTTTCGAGGGCTGGTTATCTCCTTGCAAACCCAGTGCCTGGATCTCATCTTCTAGCTTCTCAAGTCTAGTTCCCACTCTTTCTCTCTCCCTCCCTCCCTCCCTCTCTCTCTAGACGAGATCTCATGTATCCCTGACTGGCCTTCCACTGGCCATGTAAGCCCAGGATGGCATTGAACTCCCAAACCTCCTGCCTTTACCTCCCCAACTGTGAGCCACACACATGGCTTTTCTACTCCTTTTTTTTTGAGACACTATTCAGGAGATTACATGGAGGCTTGGCCACCTTGCCTGGTGGCAAGTGGGACTGTCTGGAGACAGCCCCCCTGCCACAGGTCACAATGGAGTTCTTTGTGTTGCTCTCCTAGAAGGAGTAAAACTGATTCTAAAACTAGCCCAGTCCATCAGGGCACCAAGAGACAAAAAGAGACAATAATATTGGGTGGGAAGGACAAAGGAAATTAGATCAGCTGTAGTGGCTCCTGCCTTCATCTCAGCCCTGGAGAAGCTGAGGCCAGGGCACTGAGAGTTCAGGTCAGCCTGGGAGCTACATAGCTAAAGCCTGACTTAGCACTCACACCACACACACACACACACCGAGAGAGAGAGAGAGAGAGAGAGAGACATGCATACACACACACACACACACACAGACATGCATACACACACATACACACACATGCTCACACAGTTGCCACACACAAAGGTAAGGTGAAACAGAACCCAGGAAACCAAGATAAAAGAGGATGAAGAGATGGACCGGGAAAGAAAGAAAAAGCAATAGTCAGAAAAGGGAGTCTGAGATGGTGACTGGCTCGAGAGTGCACTGGAAAACACTATAGAGATGATAGCATAATATGGCAATGAGGCTAGGGGGAAATTCATTGGCAAGCTAGAAGGAAATGAGGCAGCAGGGATATGGGGGAACCGAGTGGTTAGGATAGAGGGGGTTCAGCTGCACGCCAGGGAAGCGTAAAGCAGCTGGACAAGGGAAATTAGCAACTGGAATGAAGTCAGCAAAACGGTGTGGGGCAAATGCCTGTCACACCAGCACTTGAAATTGGAGGGAGGAGCATAAGGAGTTCAAGGCTAGCCTTGGCTACATGTCAAGCCTCAGCTAAGCTGCATGAGACCCTGTCTAGAAATAAACAAGCCATTGCTTCCCGGCCTTTCGGTGAAGATCAAGCGTAGTGTCTGCTTTTATCAGGTTAATATCCGATACGTCCTCTATCCGAGGAAAATATATTGAATTGATTTTTGGAGCCAGGAGATGGAGTAGCAGCTTGCTGTAGCCACTCCACACACTAACATGGTGTTGGAGAGCTCCAGAAATGGTGCACTCCCTGGAGGGTAGCAAACAAAAGTCAAACAGGGACCAGAAGGAAATCGGGAGAGAAACTGGGGAAAGATGTCTGGGAGGCTAGAAAAAAAAAGGGGGATATTGATCAGGTGTAGTGTTAAAACAGTTTTATTTCCAACACTCTGGAGGCTGAGGCAGAACCTTCGCAAGATATGAGCCAGCTTTGGCTACATAGCAAGAGTCTGGGAGGCAGGTAGGGGGTAGAAATCCGTCAGTGAACCGGAGATGTGTGTGGCAATGGGTGCTGGAGAACTTTGGTTGTGAGACTAAGGGCTTGGCAGGTGAAGGCAGGAGGCTAGGTGCGACTGAGGGCTTGGAGATGCCAGGGCCTCCTGGAAGAGAACAATTCGGGGAAAGAATCTCTGAAAGAGGCACAGAAGATCTCAGGCTGCAGAGAAATAGGGTATGAGATTCACAGGTGAGCAAAATAGGAAACTTGGGTGGCGAGGAAGGGGGAGAGTTACAGTGAAACTGGCCAGCCGTTGGACCAATATGTTAGGTGTCAATTAGGCAAAAGAAGCTGGGGTGTTGTCTAGAGGGAACTGGGGTGAAATGAGGCAGCAGGACGCCAGGGAACTTAGCTGGCATTGGGTGAGGGCGGGGAAGCCC